CCCCAAAACCCCAAAACCCCAAAACCCCATTAGGAAGGCTGGTTGTTGAAGTATGGGTTGTCGGAATTTGGAGTAGAAGAGGTAATAAAAGAGACCTAGATTTTCGCAAAAAATGGTGAAGGAGGTCTACAAAAAATGCTGCCAAAAACATTTAAAGCAACTAAGAACTCGTGAAATTAACGTTTATTCTCATTTATGGGTACTAATTTTTCAGGAACTAAGAGATTTCTCTTAAATCGATATTAACATCAAGCTGTAGGTAGCATATTTACGATATAGAAGTATCTAAAATATTCAGTACTAATAACACCATATGATGTGGAACATGGCTCTTCTTAGTAAACTTATATCAATTTGAACCTCTCTTTATTTAAATGAATTTCTGACGAAAGCAGCCAGATTTACTTGCTATTGACAGTAGATCAAGTATCTGCAGTCTTTTATTCTTCTGACTCTCATTTGATGATATTTTAGCAACCCTAGGGCGCATTACAAGGCCAGTTCTTGGACTCAAATATTTGGAATAGCTCAATTTAGAGGCTCCTGTGTTTCGTGGAGATCTTACTGGACTTGGGATCTTAAGCATTGTATCCTTCCCAAAGAATGTAATTGGTTTTGGCTGCGGTGATTTGTGTGAGGTAAATTCCAGATTTTCTATAAACTTAATATTTTGTTCTTAAATAAAAATGGTTTACCTCTAATGTTCAACCTTTTGATCTTTGAAAAAAGCCTCTGTCTTGCATTTAGTTTGGACTTGTTTAAGCTTAAAATTGTTTTATTGCATTTCTTAAAGATATTATACTGCATTAGAGTCGCCTTCTTGCAATCTATATAAATGATTATAGTCTCTCCGAATGGAAACATAGAAGTTAGCAAAGAGGTTGTATTTATTATCCAAAATTTTCTACCTCAAAACAGTAAGTTAGCAAAATTTAGTTAAATGATTTCTCTCGAATACCTATCAAGCATGAATATTACTTGCTAAGAGATCTTAGAGAAAGCCTGATAACTTAGCGAAATTTGGGAAATGTTGCTAAAAATTTATAACAACCAAGTATTTTAAACTCTTTGATTTTTAAGTTTACAAAACTTTGAAGGTTTGTACGCAGAACATTTGAATTCAAGCAGAATTCTCAGGTTCACTTTGTTTCAGACTTTTTAGTCAGAATATTCATATTAGACAACATGACAGCTTCCCAATGTGTCCATAATCTTAAGGAAATACTAATGAAGTAATATGGAAGATTCCGGTGAATTTATATCTAAACATCTATTTCTACTTTGATTCCTTACGGATATAGTTTTTATACTTAAGCTTAGCTTCCAATAAATCTGATCAATAATATTCAGAATTTTTTCGATAATGACTTTCACCAAGATATGTAAAATTCAAATCATAGATTTGAATTAATTGAGATTGCATAATTATTATACCAAATACGGAAATTTAATCATAAATAATGCCAAATATCTTCTTAATGCCCCCTGAAATTAAAAGAAGGTAGGATTTTAGAAGGTGGAGCTTATAATACCGTGAACTCTATATGAAAATCTTTGAAACTTTTCATGTTAAATTTGGTCATTAAGATATTTAGTCTAACTGCCATTTACATACATATTAATACAATAATAAACCAGAATCACCATTAAAATCTTGGTGGCAACATCTTCCCACTTTTAAATCAAGTTATAGTTGACCTCGAATCTGGTTTATAATCCCAGAGTTTTGAATATCACCAAAGTAGTAAATTCTGTTAAAATTATGATTGCTTTAGAAGGCTACACTTAGTAAGCATTCCGATTTTGAATTAGAATAAGAATTACCTCACTGAATCGAAGTTTGTCAATAGTCTCATTGCTCCATGAATGGCAGAGAGTTTACTTTTACTCCAGGTGTTGGGCTAAAACACCTTCTAGTATGATTCTTGCTTTTAACACCTCCCTTAAGACCAAGAACCTTCATCTCCCCTTCTTCATTATCCACATCCACCTTATTCTGTAGGTACGCTTTCACGATACTAAACTTCATACTTATTAAACCCAGTCGTTCTATTTTATATAACAACTTGGGGTTTTGGGGTTTTGGGGTTTTGGGGTTTTGGGG